TCCCGTCCCACATCTTGTGCCGTCCAAAGTCGTAGCGGGGCCTGGCGACGGCGGTCAAGAACACGACCTTTTGGATGTGTCGTTTCGACTGGCCCTTGCGCTCCGGTACGTCCTCATCGGTCCACAGGTAGTAACGTCGGTTCATCTTCGTCACGTAGAACCACTTCTCATCAATGTGGACCCTGTCCATCATGTCGTGCCACTTGTAACCGCCGCGATCTTGCTGACGGACGCAACCGCGGACAAACTCCAAACGCTGCTCCTAGTGGCTTGGCGACAGCATCGGCTTGAGTCGGCTTGTTCGTCTGCGCATCTTCTCGTCCCGAAGCAGCTTCCACAGGGTTGACATGCAGATTCCAGTCGCGGCGGCCAGGCTACGGTAAGTCGATCGTGCAAATGGAGGGATTGATTTGATCTTACTGTATCCTCTAGCTGGCTTAGAGTGTGCATGGGACGGCGCCCACAGTTTCCAGGCTTGCGGGACTTGACGTCGGCGCACCCAGTGCTGGCTTTCGTCTGCTGGCCGAGCTTCGAGATACGAGACATGGCCTGCCTGGTGACGCCGAACTGCTCACAGAGGTCACTCATGGCTCCACGAGGTGCGACACCGTTTACTTTGATCTCAAGCATGGCATGGTAGATTGCGGTTCGTTGGTCGTTCGCAAGCTCACGACCAGTTCTGGGGGTCGGCATTTGAAACGTCCATAAGTCGGTCCCCAGAAATTCTGAGCGGTGCTAGCAATATCTACGTCGCAAGACGCGTCGATCGCAAGTGATTTGAGGCACAACGGAGCAGAAATGAAGGAGATATGAGGTTTTTTAGCCTTTTTATCTGGTGACGAATGTTCTGGAAGATGGTTCTTAGCGCTCATGGCCAATAAAATTGATCCGAAAATTGCTCTGAAGAGAGCTGTTCATTGGCTATTGAATGTGACTAATTAGTGCTGAATCCGAAAAGTTTTGAATGTATTGAGGACTTTCAAAAGTTGTGTCAACAGTATTGAAGAGCAGAGGAAGTAATCCAGTAAAGACGCATACTACTCCGTTCTTCTTTAAGTGGAAAAGCCAGTTCAATTTGAAGCCAAAATCACGACGACACCACAGAGGACATGATGAGAAATAGCCTGTTACAAACGATAACCTTTATCAACTAGTTTGAAGGAGTAGG